GCGCTACGCTTGACTGGTGAAAACCCAACTTCGTTCAAGTAGGTCTCTGCAGACAAATGTGGAAGGCGTATCTGGAGGGCCACATCTGATTGGACGATAAAAAACAAGGCGTTACTGGCAGATTGTGTTAACCACTTATTATACCATACCATACCAATTTATTTATGAAGCACTTTAAACAGTGACAAAGCACACCAAAGTGCTGTACAGGGACAAACAGAACAAGCACACAGCAACAGATTACATAACAGGACACCAAAAAGTAGAAACTAACAAAAACAGTAATGGATAACAACAACAACCGCAACATGACCAACACAGTGTGATGCACACAGACTCAGCACAGATCACACAGTGCTGAAAGCCAGGGAATAAAAGTGTGTTTTTAAGCGAGATTTGAAAACTGTGAGGGAGGGGGCCTGTCTAACGAGCAGAGGTAACTCGTTCCAAAGTCTTGGGCCTGCTACAGAGAAGGCCCTGTCACCTCTGCGCTTGAGACGGGTTCCTGGGACTGTTAGGAGCAACTGGTCTGCTGATCTGAGAGAACGTGGTGGGACATACGGCTGGAGCAGATCAGTAAGATAGGAGGGGGCAGAGCTGTTTAGTGATTTATAGACATACAAGAGTATTTTGAATTTGATTCGAAGGTGAACCGGAAGCCAGTGTAGGGAGGCCAAAACAGGTGTAATGTGCTCTCTTTTGCTTGTGCTGGTCAAAAACTGGGCTGCTGCATTTTGGACCAGTTGAAGTCTAGCTATGGAGGTCTAACTGATACCAAAAAGGAGTGAGTTGCAATAGTCGAGCCTGGATGTAATGAATGCATGAATTACTGTCTCCAGGTTATTTTTGGACAATATGGGCTTCAGCTTAGACAGTCGCCTCAGCTGGAAAAAGCAGGATTTAACAATCATATTTACATGATTGTTGAGTTTCAGAGAAGGGTCAAGTATCACTCCTAGATTAGTGACTCTTTGTTTCACTAACGGTGACAGAACGGATAGGTCGATGCAGTGGTTGGTGATTGTGTCATTGGGAGGAAACGGCATAACTTGAGATTTCTTCTCGTTGAAACTCGAGAAATTTAAAGCCATCCAATCTCTGATGTCAGCCAGGCAGTCCAGTAACGGTTGAATAGAGCGAGTACCGTTGAGTCTGAGGGGGAAGTAGATTTGGCAGTCGTCGGTGTAGAAATGAAAAGGTATGTTATGTTTCCTGAAAATAGCACCTAGTGGCAGCAGGTATAAAGAAAATAAAAGAGGACCAAGGATGGACTCTTGCAGTACCCCCCATTTAAGCGCTGCCGAGGCTGAACTAAAATCTTTGATGGAGACACAAAAAGACCTGTCAGCGAGGTAAGATGTGATGCCCACCCACTGCTCTAACCTCGCAATGAGGATCTCGTGGTCGATTGTATCAAAAGCAGATGTGAGGTCCAGTAAGAGAAGGAGCACAGAATCACCAGCGTCTGTGAATAGGAGAATATCGTTAAAAACCTTGAGTAGAGCAGTTTCAGTGCTGTGGAGAGGTTTAAAGCCAGACTGGAATAGCTCTAAGATGGCATTATCCTCTAGAAAGCATTTCAGCTGGGACTCCACTATTTTTTCCAGTAGTTTAGCGACAAATGGGAGTCTGGAGACAGACCGGAAGTTGGACATGACTGAGGGGTCAAGGCTAGGTTTTTTAAGGAGAGGATGGACAGCAGCATGTTTAAAAGTTATTGGCACCACACCTGAGGCTAAGCTGCTGTTCACAATGCCAAGAACAGGAGGGCCCAGAACAGGAAGAAGCTCCTTGAGGAGTCGAGGGGGGACAACGTCAAAAGGGGAGCCAGATGGCTTCAAGCCGCACATGACCTGCTCCAGGGAAGACAGAGAGATGGGCTTGAAGTGGTCAAGAACAGCAACACAATGAGATGGGATGGACGGATCATGAGCAGGTGGAGAAATGAGTGCCCGGGTTTTTGCAACTTTTTCAGAAAAGAAATGGAGGAAGTTTTCACACAGCTCAGTTGAGGCTTCTAGAGGTGAAGGTTCACTGAGGTGTAGAACTGAGTTCAGGGTGGAAAAAAGGGCTCGGGGGTTGTGGGAGTTTGAGGCAATTATCGCAGAAAAGAACTTCGATTCGGCGGCTTTAACTGCCTTCTGATAATGACGCCAACTCTCCTTTAGGATTTGAAAAGAAACCTGCAGCCTGTCTTTCCTCCACCTGCGTTCTGCTCTCCTACACTTCTGTCTAACGGCTTGAGTGACGTCATTAAGCCATGGTTCTGATAAAAGTTTTGTTTTCCTGGTTTTAACGGGAGCAACACGGTCCAGAATATTTAAGCAAACAGAGTTAAGCTGAGAGGTTAGCTCCTCGGTGGAGAGAGACACTGAGAGCTGATCGATCATCTCAGAGCTAAAAGCTTCAGTAAAACGTGCAGCAGTGAAACGGTTAATGGCGCGTGAAGTACGTGCAGAATCACATGACTTAGCTGTAGGACAAGGCGGGATGATATCAAACAAGACAGGCATGTGGTCTAAGAGAACGTTGTCACCGATTACCAAATTACAAACAGAGACATCACGTGTTAAAATGAGATCCAGAGTGTGACCGTGTTGTTGGGTGGGACCATTTACATGTTGAGTTAAATTAAATGAGTCCAACAAATCAAGGAAGTCCTTCACTAACGGCTTCTCCTGACAACAGACGTGAATATTAAAGTCACCAACGATAATAAAGTGATCATATCTTGGTGTGATGTAAGCCAGAAAATCAGAGAATTCACTTATCGCCCCCCTCGTTCCACTTCCTTGGAACGAGGGGGGCGATTAAACAATAGCGCACAGAACGGGAGGAGAATGTCCGAGTTCAAAAGCACTCAGCTCAAAACTGGAGCAGGGCATGAGGGTGGACAACTGTTTACAGGAAAAGTTAGATTTAAATACAGTTAATATTCCACCACCCCGCCGACCTGATGGCCGCGGGGCATTAAAACACAGACAGTCAGGAGGTAAAAGTTCCACCAAGGCGCTTGAATCACCCAAAGGCAACCAGGATTCCGTGAGAAAAAGAAAATCTAGTCCCTCGTCTTTAAAAAAGTCATTTAGGAGAAAAGTCTTATTGGCAACAGACCTTGTGTTGATGAGGCACGTCCTGATCTGGTCCGACACAGAACCAGCCATGGTGGGGGTGGTGCGCGCCAACGGTTGCAGATTTTTAAAAACAGCGCCTCCAGGACAGTCCAAGCGCCGGGCCGGTAGACAACACCCATATTTTCCCTGGTCCAGGCACGTAGGAAGCTGGCTGTGGAAATGTTGACCACGCAGAGCTTTGAGTTTTACCAGCCGGCCGGCACGTTTACCCCGGCGTCTGGAGCGATATCTCCGAAAAGGCAGGCTTGGGACCAAGCGTAAACAAGCAGGCACGTCTGCCAGAAGGGGTGGAAGAGGGGGGGGGGGGGTCCCGAGTCACGATCAAAATGGTCCGAATCAGCGACAGCAGATACAGACAATCGAAGACCGAGGAGCTGTTGTCGGTCATACACAAGCAGCGAGTTGATATCCCAGACAAAAAATGAAAAAAGCAGAAATAATCCAAACAGTATCGTCAGAGGTAGATTGCAGGCCATGTACACGGGCGCCATCTTACCGGAAGTTTTAGACTTTTATTATGACTTATTATGTCTATGGTGTTAACCGGTTCAACATTGGCGACGTTTCCATAACTTCTCTTCCCATCTCTCTTAACACAGAACGTCCAGTTACATTTCAAAATAAGAGCGACATAAATGAGTAGTGTGGAGGGCTTTTTTTTTTTTTTTATACCTAGCCATTATATTCAATTCCATTTCAATTCAGTTTATTTATACAGCGTCAAATCACAACAAAGTTGTCTCAGGGCACTTTACAGGAACATTCACATACATAAAAGCCAATTATTGAAGTTCTCTATCTAAGGAATCCAGCAGACAAGTTGAATCTTGGCTTTGTTGCAGTCTCCCATCCTGAGCAAGCACAGTGGCAACAGTGGAAAAGAAAAACTCCCTTTTAACAGGAAGAAACCTCCAGCAGAACAAGGCTCAGGACAAGCGGCCATCTGCTTTGGTTGTTGAATAATGTGAAAATAGTTACAATCAATTCATAAAGAAGGAAAAATAAAGTAAACAAAATATTAATGATACTTAAACTGGCTTTGGGACAAAGGATGTTTCCTTTAACTTCACATTTTCTTGTTCAACCTTTTAAATCAGTCACTGCTGATGAGTGATTGTCAGTTTCTGTAAGATTTCTGCAACTGGAGCAGGTATTTCTGTTTACTGGTTAACTTCCTCAGCTGTCTCACATTTTAAGGGTCAGTCCTACTCAATGTTTCAGCTCCTTTCATAGACCAGATCTCATAGAAGATCACGTCTAAAGAGCAAATTTAGTTTTTAGTGTTTGTTTTGGGCCATTATCTTGTTACAAGACTCATGATCTTTAATTGAGACCAGACTTTTTGACAAATGGAGCAGGTTTCGCTTCAGATGCTTTATATTTCATTGTACCCAGACCACACTCAAGCCCACCTGTGTCAGGTGCAGCCTACAACCCAAGGACTAAAGATAATCTTCTTGTGTTTGACAGCAGATATAACACTGTTTCTATAAACCTTCAGTTTAAAAAAAGAGTTGACGTAACTTACCTAAAGAGCCAGTAAATACAGTTAGCAAAACAGTGTTTGCACTCTAGAAACACCTATTCTCCAGAAAAGCCCACTTTTTGTCTGCAGAGAACCCCTTCTCACTTCGTTTGTGCTTCTCGTTGAAAGGACTTTAAACTGCAGGAACGATTTGACAGAAAATGTTAGTGGTTTTGACATGAGGGCTTTTTAACAGTGTGGTAGATGTTTAAACTGGAAGCTGAGCATGATGCTAATGAAGTCTTGATGTAGGTGGGTCACCGTTCAGTGAATGCTTTTATTTGCTTTGTTCGGCCACATATTAATTTTGCAGCTCTTTGTTTCACTCTGTTTCTTCTCAGGAAAAGCAGACCAAAGAGGCCCTAACCAGAAAGCAGCAAAAAGGTAAGAAGAAGGGACCTCAAGAAGAGGAGAGCCAGGAGGCCCCCGAGCTGCTGAAGAGGCCCAAAGAGTACACCGTCAAGTTCACCTTCCCCAACCCTCCTCCTCTCTCACCACCCATACTTGGGCTGCACAGTAAGAAAATCTGCTGCTAAGTCCTGCGTAGCTTCTTGTACAGAGTACTCAGAAGTTTTTATTCACTAATTATGAGAAATTTCACATTAATTCAAGGCTTTAAATGATTTCTAGAATTCTCTAGTATTTGACAACAAAGTCCATGCTCGATAATCCAGGTATACGATCCAACATTTTTCAGTCAGGTCATCTGGACAGTTTCTTCTTTTTTTTTTTTTTGTGCTGAAACGTTTCGCCTTCGATCCGGAAGGCTTCATCAGTATTTGGTTAAATGCCATTGCCGCTCAGCAAGTTGTAGCTCAACCACAGTTTTTTAAAATTATCTATCATCAAGCTTCTGGTATAATTCTTGCTGATATTTGACCACCCTTCTGGGCAGAATTGGTGGAATAAATTCAAAATTTTGGGTTTCCTGGCTTTTACTCAGTCAACCATTTTTATGCGGAGTTGAGGCTCCCACATGCTCGGGTAGACCTCAGTCCGCAGAAGTCCATGCGTACCGGATTAGACTCGAAGCAGATGCCCACGGGACATGTCCATGCAAAGCTCAAATTTTACAACTGCGTATGCGTACTCTGTGTCGCACAATAAACTGCCTGGGGACGGACTGTTTTGTATGTGACACCAATGTATTAAATTCCCCTTCTTCATCCCTGATCTGAGGGAAGGAGGTTGTTCCCCAAAATCTCACAATGCATGGCCCCCGTCCTCCTCTCCTTAATACAGTGCGGTCGTCCTGTCCCATGTGCAGAAAAATAACCCCAAAGCATGATGCTTTCACCCCCATGCTTCACAGCAGGGATGGTGTATTTGGGATGGTATTCATCATTCTTCGTCCTCCAAACACGGCGAGTGGAATTAAGACCAAAAAGCTTTATCTTGGTTTCATGTGACCACAGAACTTTCTCCCATCATCCAAATGGTCATGGGCAAACTTAAGACGAGCCTGGACGTGTGCAGAATGAAGCGGGGGAACCTTCCGTGCCATGCATGATTTTAAACTATGACGTCTTAGTGTATTACCCACAGTAACCTTGGAAACGGTGGTGCCAGCTCTCTTCAGCTCATTGACCAGCTCCTCCCGTGTAGTTCTGGGCTGATTCCTCACCTTTCTTAGGATCGTTGATACACCACGAGGTGACATCTTGCATGGAGCCCCAGTCCGAGGAAGATTGACAGTCATGTTTAGCTTCTTCCATTTTTTAATAATTGCTCCAACAGCTGATCTTTTTTCTCCAAGGTGCTTGGAAATTGCCCCGTAGCCCTTTCCAGCCTTGTGGAGCTCCATAATTTTGTCTCTGGTGTCTTTGGACAGGTCTTTGGTCTTAGCCATGTTAGTAGTTGAGAGTCTTACTGATTGTGTGGGGTGGACAGGTGTCTTTATGCAGCTAACGGCCTCAAACAGGTGCTTCTAATTTAGAATAATAAGTGGAGGTGGACGTTATAGAGGCAGACTAACAGGTCTTTGAGGGACAGAATTGTTTCTGATTGGCAGGTGTTCAAATACTTATTTGCAACAGTAACACACAAATAAGTTATTTAAAAAATCATACTTTGTGATTTCTGGATTTATTTATTTTTTTAAGATTATGTCTCTCACAGTGGACATGCACCTACGATGAAAATTTCAGACCCCTCCATAATTTCTAAGTGGGAGAACGTGCAAAGTTGCAGGGTGTTCAAATACTTGTTTTCCTCACTGTAAATACTGACAATGGGGCTAATATTGTGAAGGTGGTGCTACTGAATACTGACGTTAGCTTGAGAGGCACGTAGCTAATGACAAGTGAGTTGGAGGATTGAAGATAATTTATTATTGTTGATTTGTTTTACAGATCAGTTAAAATAAACTTATCATGCTCTGTTCAGTAAAATACGCCAAAAAGTGTTGCTCCCTGCTCCAGCTGTGCTGAACGTCCAAAGTGAAACTTAAGTGAATGACAATGACTTGAAAGTAATCTTCATGCGCTCTCTGTTGGATACATTGTACAAGTACAGCTGGTTCCAGCATTTTAGGTGTGAAAATTAGAAGTGTTTGTATTGGTGCATAATGAGACAATTATCACAGATATCGATAGCTCCCCAAACGTCAATATTGGCCTAAAAATATCAGCTCTACCAATATATCAGTCAGGCTGTAGTTTTAATAACAGGCAATTTTGCCACCTTCTCTAACTGTTTAATGGAGGCATTAGTCACAGACGTGCCAGGACAGTTCACTAGACATGATGGTAACATCTGCACATTGTTTGTGTAAGGCAGATTAAACCAGCAGAGAGCGAGACGTCATGCTACATGGATCGGAACCTTATTGTTCACAATTTAAAAGTGTTTGTGTGTGTATAAATATATACATATAAGACTTTCTGTCTCACACAGGTGTCGACTTTGGCTACGAAGGTCAGAAGCCTCTTTTCAAAAATGTGGATTTTGGCATTGACATGGATTCCAGGAGTGAGTATAAATCCAAAATCATGATTAGATATTTGATTTTAATGGCGATAATGTTTTTGCTTGTGCCTCTGTGTGTTTGTTAGCAAAATATCTCATGAAACACTGTGCAAAAACTTCCTTGAAGTTGTTGGTGGTTTGGAGCTAACCCCGTTGGAGAGCTGCTGCAGCCAATTGACCTTAGGAAATCCAAAGATGGCTGTTGTTTAAACAACTTCACAAATCTTGAGATAAATTCGAAAAGATCACATAACACTCCTCGGACTTCCGGTAAGATGGCGCCCGTGTACATGACTTGCAATCCACCTCTGCTGATGGTGTTCGGATTTTTTTTTTTTTTGCATTTCACATCTGTGACATCAACTCTCTCTGCTGGTGTATGACAGACAACAACTTTTGGATCTTCTTTTTTCTGTCACTGAAGTCGCTTATTTGGAACAATATGAGCGTACCTCTGGACTCCCCCCCCCCCGCTGGCGGACGTGCCAGCTTACCTTCGCTGCGCTCTTCACCTCTATGCCCGGAGATATCGCTTCAGACTCCGGGGAAAACGTGCTGGTCAGCTGGTGAAGCTGAAAGCTCTGCGCGCTGCATCTTCCTCTCCTGTGTGCCCGGACCAGTTAACCAACGTGAGTTGTCAGCTGTTGCGCAGCTCGGACCGACCTGGAGCGGCTGTTATTGAAAACCTGCGGCCATTAGCGCGCACTAACCCTACCGCTGCTAGCTCCACTTCGGACAATATCCGGATGTGTTTGGTCAACGCAAGATCTGTTACCAAAAAAACTTTTATCCTCAGGGACTACTTTCAAGAGCACGATTTGGACTTTCTGTGCATCACAGAGACTTGGATGTCTCAGGGTGAGTCCAGCGCTTTGACGGAATTACTGCCACCGAACTGTCTGTGTTTTAACGCACCGCGGCCATCAGGCCGGCGTGGTGGTGGATTATTAACAATATTCAAATCAACTTTTGACTGTAAACAACTGCCCATCCCAGTTTCCCGCGCCAGCTTTGAGCTGAGCGTCTTCGAACTCGGACATTCACCTCTGACGTTATTTGCACTCGTCTACCGCCCACCTCGATCTAAGGATTTCATAAATGAGTTTTCTGACTTGTTGGCTGAAATCACACCAAAATATGAGCATGTTTTCATTATTGGGGACTTTAATTTGCATGTGTGCTGTCCTGAGAAGCCCTTGGTTAAGGACTTTTTAGATTTATTGGACTCATTTAATTTAACTCAGCATGTAAACAGTCCCACCCAAGAGTGTGGACATACACTGGACCTTGTTTTAACTCATGATATGACTGTTAATAATCTTGTTATGGGTGATAATCTTTTCTCAGACCACATGCCAGTCCGGTTTGAGTTCACCCTCCCCCATCTAACTCCTAAGTCGTGCATTCCTGCACGTAGCACCCGGACCATTAACCACTTCACTGCCGCACGTTTCACAAATGTTTATAACTCTGAAATGATAATTCAGGCCCCAGTGTTTCTCACCACCACTGAGGAGCTGACATCCCAGTTCAACTCTGTCTGCTTAAAGACTATCGATCATGTCGCACCTGTTGAAACCAAAAAATCAAAACTCAGAGCAGAACCTTGGCTGAGTGACATCGCCAAGGCCGTAAGGCAGCAATGTAGGAGGGCGGAACGAAAGTGGAGGAAAGACAGGCTGCTGGTCTCTTTTCGAATACTTAAAGAGAGTTGGCGCCGTTATCAGAAAACAGCAAAAGCTGCAAAATCAATATTCTTCTCTGATATAATTACCTCAAACTCTCACAACCCACATGTCCTCTTCTCCACCCTAAACTCTGTTCTCCACCTCACTGAACCATCACCTCTGGAAGCCTCAACTGAGCTGTGTGACAACTTCTTACATTTCTTTTTGGAAAAAATTGCAACCACCCAGGCTCTCATTTCCCCTCCAACTCATGACCCATCCATCCCACCTCAATCTGTAGCTCCTGTTGACCATTTTGAACCCATCACTCTATCTTCTCTAGAGCAGGTCATGTGCAGCTTGAAACCTTCTGGCTCCCCCTTTGATGTGGTCCCCCCTCAACTACTAAAGGAGGTGTTTCCAACTCTAGGTTCGTCCATTCTTGATATAGTAAACAGTAGTTTATCCACTGGCGTGCCAAAATCCTTTAAACATGCTGCCGTCCAGCCTCTCGTGAAAAAAACAAACCTTGACCCCTCAGTCGTTTCCATCTACCGGCCTGTCTCCAAACTCCCATTTGTTTCTAAAGTACTGGAGAAAATAGTCGAGTCCCAGTTGAAGTGCTTCCTGGAGGATCACGCCATCTTAGAGCTTTTCCAATCTGGCTTTAAACCTCTCCACAGCACTGAAACTGCCCTGCTGAAGGTCTTTAACGACATCTTCAGATTCACAGATACTGGTGATTCTGTGCTGCTTGTCCCGTTTGACCTCACAGCCGCCTTTGACACCATCGACCATGAGATCCTCATTGCTAGGTTGGAGCAGTGGGTGGGCGTCACAGGATCAGCCCTCAATTGGTTCAGATCTTACCTCGCTGACAGATCCTTTTGTGTCTCTATCAAGGATTTTAGTTCCGCAGAGGCAGAGCTTAAATGGGGGGTTCCACAGGGGTCCATCCTGGGTCCCCTCCTATTCGCTTTATACCTGCTGCCACTTGGTGCTATTTTCCGGAAACACAACATGCCCTTCCACTTCTCTGCCGATGACTGTCAAATTTACTTCCCCCTAAGACACAATGGTACATGCTCTATTCAACCGCTGCTCAACTGCCTGGCTGACATCAGGGACTGGATGGCTTTAAATTTCTTGAGTTTCAATGAAAAGAAGTCTGAAGTCATGTTGTTCCCTCCCAACGACACGATCACAAACCACTGCATCGACCTTTCCGCTCTAACCCTGTCAGAAAAACAAAGAGTCACTAATCTGGGAGTGATAATGGACCCTTCCCTGAAACTTAACAATCATGTAAACATGATTGTTAAATCATGCTTCTTCCAACTGAGGCAGCTGTCTAAACTGAAGCCCATATTGTCCAAAAAGAACCTGGAGACAGTAATACATGCATTCATTACACCTAGGCTTGATTACTGCAATTCGCTCCTGTTTGGTATCAGTCAGACCCTCCATTGCACGACTACAACTGGTCCAGAATGCAGCAGCCCGATTTTTAACCAGTACAGACAAAAGAAAGCACATTACACCAGTTTTGGCCTCACTGCACTGGTTACCGGTTCACTTTTGAATCCAGTTCAAAATACTCATGTATGTCTACAAATCACTGAACAGTGTCGCACCCCCCCATCTCTCTGATTTGCTACAACCGTATGTCCCACCACGCTCCCTGAGGTCAGCGGACCAGTTGCTCCTCACATTTCCAGGAACTCGTCTTAACGCGCAGAGGTGACAGGGTTTTCTCTGTAGCAGGACCAAGACTCTGGAACGAGTTACCTCTGTTTGTCAGACAGGCCCCCTCCCTCTCGGTTTTCAAGTCCCGTTTAAAAACTCACTACTATTCAGTGGCTTTCAGCACAGGATGTTCGGTGTTTTGATCCTGTATGCTCCACACTGGTTTGTCGTCATTGTCTGCATCGTTTTTTATGTCTATATTCTGATTTACCTCATTTTGTATTTTGCTTTGTGTGTTACCTGTTGTTTTGTCTGTACAGCACTTTGGTTGGCCTTGTAGCTGTTTTAAGTGCTTTATAAATAAAGTGGTATGGTATCGTATGGTATTTCTCAGCAACACAACAGCTTTGTTCTGCAGCTGATATGCTTTAGGTGAGACGTGGGCAACATATGGTCCAGGGGCCAAAAGTGGCCATGAAACAATTTCCATCCGGCCCTAATATTGATAAGAAAACTACTTTTGAATAAGTTGATGAAATCGTGCATTTTATCAATGAAATTTAAATTAAACTTCTTGGACAAATACATTGAAAACCTAGTGAGTTTTCAGAACTAGACAGAAGTTTAAAGACTTTCTCTTCCAAGCTTCATTCCTTTGCTGTTTTATACTCTGTGTTTGATGATGGTTTTTTGTTTTCACTTCTTATTTTTTAGTTTGTATTGTCGGGCCCAATGGTGTTGGAAAGAGTACCCTGCTGCTGCTGCTGACTGGAAAATTAAATCCCGTAAGACAAATAATTTGGACTTGCAGTCTTAAAGAAGAATAATACTCAAACTTATTTATGTTTGTTGTTGTTGTTTTTTAGATTAAAGGTGAGATGAGGAAGAACCATCGACTGGTGAGTAACGTTTGATTTAAACAAAAAAAATCTGCATTTGTAAGGGACTCATTACAAACTGAGAAATTCAAAATAGACTAGATAAATGTAATTTCGTGTGAAAATGCAGTATGAACGCTTAATGCCGACTGATTTCTGATCACAGTTTGTGACTACATTTAGCATTCGGAAAGGTCACCCTCAAAAATTGGGTTGCCAAGTCAACATCCAAGATGGCCTCCACCATGTATTTATTTATTTATTTATCATAAATAACAAATAGCAAATTACTACCTCTGTCATTTGAGGAAACTATGCTTTCTAGTTTTTATATTTTCAAAAGTATAGTTTCAACATATGATTGGGATGGACCTTGGGGTGCCTAGAGATTAATCTAAGGGGGATAAGGCCACCATTGGTTCCCCCTTGGCTCCACCATTGCACCTAGCGGTGGACCGCTGTTTTCAAAGAGTCAGGAGTTTGGCCCAGTGGTTGGGCGGTCACGTTACAGTCGGCAGCAGGTCTGGCTCAGATGTTCGTGTTTTTACAGAAAGTTGGGTTCTTCAATCAGCAGTATGCTGACCAGTTGAACATGGACGAAGCCCCCACAGAGTACCTGATGAGGAACTTTAACCTGCCCTACCAGGACAGCAGGAAGTGTCTGGGACGTTTTGGCCTGGAGAGTCACGCCCACACCATTCAGATCTCCAAACTCTCCGGTGTGAACACGGACATGGGACATGTTTAACGCTTGTCTGCACCGAGACGTTATTTAACGTCACCTGTTTATTTTTTTGTCAGGTGGGCAGAAGGCCAGAGTCGTATTTGCAGAGTTGTCGTGTCGTCAGCCGGATGTCCTTATCCTGGTAAGAACAGCTCTGCTCCACGCCCTCCCTTCATATTCTAACATCATAATGCTTAATTAATTGGTGTGGTCTTCTTTTTCTTCTTAGGATGAGCCCACCAACAATTTGGACATTGAGTCAATAGACGCCTTATCTGAGGCCATCAATGAGTACAAAGGAGGTGAGAGACTTGAGTCCACAGAATTTTTTCTGTTGGGGGCTAATTATTACACAAAGTGACAGAGGTGTTAGGAGCAGAGTGACATGTAACACGTGTGGCTCATTATTCAGGTCATACATAGTCTGCACATGAGGTCTGCTCCCACAGATGATAAGCAAACACCTTTACCAAAAATCTAGTTTAACCCTGAAGTCTCAGTGTAGCTAAGCTTTATTTTTATATATTTATATGCACAAAGAACAATGTTTTACAGCTGACTCAGCCTAAAAAAAAATATCAAATTGAATTTTTTTTTACTCTTTTAAGGGACTTTCGTTGAAAACAACTCCACCTTTCAGTTTTGTAATAAATTGACAAAATATTAACTTTGTGGCAACAAATAAGCATTTTTCTTCATTAAACAACCCTAAAACATTTTCTTTTATTATTTATAAAAAGTTCCAGTCCTGAGTTTGGTAAAAACTCTTCGGATCATGTCGTTGAAAATGAGTCACTTTCTCCTGTCTCTCTGTGGCCTGAAGTGGATTATTTATCGATTTATTTTCCAAAACCCATGTGCAACACCAGTTCTGTCTTTGTTTATTTTTACTGATCCATACATACTGCCAGCTGCTGCAGCACGGTGCCCCCGCTAATGACCTCCCTCGTCAGCTGATCTGAGCTGTGCAGCGTCTGATTCTGCAGCCTGCATGCATGTGGAGCAGATGTTTTTAACTAAATGTTACTTGTGCTCTTTACATCCAAAATAAAACGATTTTGTCAGACAGATGGGATCTGAAGGAAGTGAAATATTTACTCCTGTAAATTGTCAGAGGCTCTCAAATATAATAGCAGAGCACCAAACAGAGAGTTAATATAAAAATCTTAAGAATAGAGGTAAAAATAAAAAGCAGAAATTATTTTATGATCTGATAAATATGGCATTAAACGTATTTACGGTTTAATGTAATGTGGTGGACTTTCCCCTCAGGCGAGTGTAGTAAAGTTACTGAGGTTATGAGAGCATCTGAAAAACTTAAGATAAAATAAAAGTAGAACGATTTTAGGTTTTGTTGACTGCACCAAAATAAATCAATAAAATCACAAAAATAAATGTGTGGCTGATTTTCCCCCATAAGGTGAACATATGTACAAATACTGGTGACAGAGACAGAATTACTATGGAACATGGTTTTTATACAAAATAAATCTTTTTCCCCTTTGCATACTTTCAACTACCTAAACTATAATAATCTCTACTGAGCTCTTTTAACGAAGGGTTACACAAACATAAAGCAAATTAATGATAAATATTAGAGATGAAACAGTTTATGAAAAAACAAATGCAGCAGAGAAATAAAATGCCCAAACTCAGCCACTGTTCGACACCCAGCCCGTAATATTTAACGTTATTCTTTCCTGAAGTTTTTAAATATCATCAGCTGAGAGAAGCCACTCGAACCCGTTTAACACCGTATTTCATCAACTCTGTCTTTAAGCAGAATAAATTCAAGCCAGTTAGAAACAATAAAAAGTCCAGGTTCAGTAGAGGACTGTTCACACTGATGCTGAACTGCTTTTTACACAAACACGTGAAGTATCGCTGAGAAAATGATTTGTTGCTGCCGCTTGGTTTTCTACTGTTTGAACACTTCATTAGTTTCTGACGTTGATGAATGATCTAAGCTGCTTCGCCCCAGAACACACACACATCTTAAATCTACTCTCACTAGTTTTTTGGTTTTTTTTAGAGACGCACATTAAAGGTGAACATGTTATGGCGTCTGTCACACCATCTCCAAGGTCACAAATAAAGGTCAAAGTTTGCTGTGTAATAGTTTGTGGGCGGGCGTGTGCCGTACGCTGTGCTCGTTTTCTTGATCCCACCACTAACCCTGAGCCTGTGTGCACAGCTGTGATCATCGTGAGTCACGACGCACGGCTCATCACGGAGACTCAGTGCCAGCTGTGGGTGGTGGAGGAACGCTCCGTGAACCAGATTGACGGAGACTTCGACGACTACAAGCGGGAGGTGCTGGAGGCCCTCGGAGAGACAATGGTCAACAAAGTCAACCCATGACGGCCTGCTGTGGAAGCAGGTTCTACCTGCAGCAGTACAAGCTCGAAGTCCTTTTCTACCAGAGCGAAACGATGATCTGCCAAAGCTTAATAAAATACTCAAACCTGTTCTCATCACGTTTATTGTGCAGTTCAGTCGACACGTGTACAGACATGTTTCATGACTCTAACTTTTTAAATAAGGCTTGTACATCTTCCTGACTTTAGCCACCAGCTGCTCATCAGGTGTGATCCTCCCATACCAGGTGTACCAGGTGTCACTTGAGGTGGAGGAAGGTGGGGGTGGCGTGCATCCAACAGCATCATGAGCGTTGGAGTAATCCTCTCCTGAGTAGTCCACGTGTGGAACCTGGAAGGAAATGAGGCCTGAAAAGGAGACGTGGTGTCATCTCTTTACGTTCTGTTCAAAATTTCAACTGCACAGAGATAATCTTCATTCTGCTGTATTTAAGGAATTGCATTCATTTGTAAATAATCTTTATTTTTAACGTGTTTTATAAATATTTACCCAGTGAGAATGAACTGGGTCTAAAGTCAGGAACTAATGTATCCAAAAACTCCAGGAATTAGTCAGACCCACTTCATTTTTCTCACGCTTGTTACAATGCAGCCTGACGCTTCAAATATTTAAATCATTTCTTAAATAAATCAAATTTAATAATACCTATATTTTTTTAAACACCTGAAACTTCACATTTCTGTAAGAATTCAGAACCTTTGGCAGTGGTTCTGCCTCGACACTTTCTAGGTTTGATGCTACAAACTTTGTTCTGAAGGACTTTCTGTTCTTTGGAAATCAGCTCATGCTGGCTGGACTGGACCACAGACTCCAGGTCTGTAGAGAAAGCTGACGGGGTTCTGGCTCGGTCTGGTCCACTCCAGGTCGTTCAGTCCAGTGTGAGGTCCTGAACTCTGGTTTTGTATTTTTCTTCAGGCCTGACCAGACTCGGTTCCTGCTGCTGAACAGCAGCCCACAGCATGATGCTGCCACCACCATGCTTCACTGTGGGGGGGATGGTGGACCCTGGTTTAATGTGAACAGTTCAGTCCTGGTTCCATCAGACCAGAGGATTTTGGTCCTCACAGCCTGAGTCCTTCAAGTGTTCAGAGATGACAACAAAGTCCATGCTCAATAATCCAGGTATACAATCCAACATTTTCAGTCAGGTCATCTGGACAGTTTCTTTTTTTGCTGAAACGTTTCAACTTCAGTCCGGAAGGCTTCATCAGTCAAGGAAACGCAACAAAAACTGATTCTTCCCCCAACAGCTTACTCCAAAATGGAACAAACCAGTTTTGCTTGTTATAAGATGGTCTCTTTGGTATGCCCCCTCCTCCATTGCCGGACCTCTTCATTGTTGACAGTCTTCTGGACCGAAGGCGAAACGTTTCAGCAAAAAAAAAGAAACTGTCCAGATGACCTGACAGAAAAATGTTGGATGTTCAGAGATGCAATCAGGCCTAAAACGCCCGGCCTGAACCCGTATCAGTGTTTCTGAGCCTGACCTGAAACCGACCAATTAACTGATTACAAACCCGAAAAAAAAAAAACGTTGGTTACATACTGTAACCCCAGATTCTATGAGTATAGGCGTTAAGGCTGTCGCTGATGGGTTTTATCCCGATATGCGGAGCATCACACTGAAAAATTTAGTCCATGCCCACCTGCTGTGTGGGCCCCACCCGGTCCGTATGAATTACGTTAAGAGCAGGTAATCGGCTCCCAAATAGCTTTTTCTTCAGCCATTTAGGAGCCAGTGAGGCCCGACGCTTAAAGGGCTACGCTTATACTCATAGAGTCTGGGGTTACAGTACGTAACCAACGTTCTATTTCGTATAGGCTTCGCCCTTTAAGGCTGTCGCTGATGGGTTAAGGGCGAAGCAGATGTGGTCCTTGCCTCACTGGGTCCATTCGAACGCCGTATGAAGCAGAAGCTTGCCCAAAAAATGTCTTGTCACTCAGCTCCCCATGTACGCGTAACTATGTGTGCCATGCACAGACACATGTTGTGTAACTATGCGTTCTGAATGCATGAACGCCCCGGAAAAGTTCCAACAGGGAGGGAAAAGTGCTGAAAAAGAGCCATGAACCAACCGGTTTACGGCTGAACAGTATGAACAGATTAATAATAACAGGAGAGCTGATTATTAATCAAATGAACTGATTGGTAACAATAGTCATGAACTGATTAGTGACAATAGAACCAAAATAACAATCACAACTTGTGACTGATAACATCTCACACTGTAATGCATGCAGACAGATGTGAGTTAAACGGAGTTCCATGAAACAACAATATTCATTCTGTAAAACACTAAGTATAGAATGTGTCATGGAACGAGCCGTCACATCACGTAGATAAAAGTGAATAAATAAGCAGGGTGTTGACCACGCGGTCGCAGTGTAAATATCCTGCATTGTCATACCATTATGCAAAGCAGTTGAAGATGCAATATCCCTGGTCAAGTGTGCCCTGAGGTTGACAGGAGGCTCTAAATCTGATGCTCTATAGGCTTCAGATAAAAGGCCTCACACAGCCAGTGTGACAAGTGCTGGGTCGATAACGGGCGACCTGCAGATGCATCTCTATAATGCACAAACAGATGTTGAGTTTGACGCATTGCAACTGTGTAACACGTCAACGCCCGCACCGGACAGAGAAGATGGAAAGATGCTTCTTCTGATCTGTGGGGGGGAGAGGGAAAAACCCCTCCAACGATACTGCTCTTGATTTAAAAGAGCTTGTGATGTTTTTAGGCATAAAAGCTGGGTTTGGTCTTAAATCAGCTGAGCTGCCGTCAGCCTGAATTCTGAGACATGACGGAGCGACAGAGAGGGCAGATAAATCACTCACTCTCTTAGCGGATGTTAAAGCCAGCAGCAGGGCTGTTTTAAGAGACAAGAATTTAAATGGAACCTGATCCAGAGGCTCAAATGGAGCTTTGATCAGGGCTCGCAGGACTAGCGTTAAATCCCACTGTAGAACAAGTTGCCCTGAAACAGGCCTGCGTCTCTGTACACCTTTTAGAAAACGATTCATCAGTGGATGATTAAAAGCTGTTCTGTCTCCGAACCCTTCGGCTGGACGCCAAATTTCTGTCCATCAACTGTTGCAGAAAAGACAGCACGTTGCCTAGTGAACATGAGGTGGCCTCTACACCTTTCTCTGTATACCAGCGCTGAAAAACTTCACTTGATGTGTACAGCGCTGTGGTGGATGCAGCACGTGAATCCTGGATTGTGCGCACTACATCCTGTGGGAGACCCATCATCTCTAAGCGGATCCGCTCATCTGCCACACCCACAGGTGCTGGCCTATTTCTGGGTAACTCCTGATCGCTCCTCCTGCCTGGAGGAGAACGCCCTCCCTCCACGACAGTTTCCACGGGTGCCCCAACAGCAGGCGTTGCAGGACTGGGAACCATGGTGCGTTCACGTGCTCGGGGGCCACCAGGAGAGCTGTCAATCCCTCCTCCTGAACTCAGTTCAGGAACCGTAAGATCAGAGGAGATGGAGGAAACGCGTACAGAAGCATTTTGGGCCATGGGCTGTGGGCAAACGCATCCACACCCAGCGGTGGTTCATCTTGCGGGCTCAGAGAAAACCGTAATTGACACTGAGCGTTTTCTCGTGTCGCAAATAGGTCCACAGCTGCTTTGCCAAATTTCTGCCACGTCTGAGCCATCAGGTCTGGATGGAGAGTCCAGTCCCCAGGACGTGGACCACCCCTGGACATCACATCTGCCCCTTTGTTCAAAACACCGGATATGTAAACTGCTCTGATGGAGAGCAGATTTTGGTGTGCCCAACACAGTAGTTTTCGCGCAATGTGTAACATCTGGGCTGAGCGCACACCCCCCTGCCGGTTTATGTATGCAGCAGTCACCTTGTTGTCTGTGTGAATCAAAACGTGTTGATTCTGCAGCACAGGAGCAAAGTGTTGAATCACGTTCAGCACCGTGCAACACTCCAAAAACATTTATGTGGGCTGATGTGTGATGGGGCCACAGCGCCCCTACAGCTTGAGATAGGCATGTTCCCCCCCCAGCCTGACAGCGACGCGTCTGTGAAGACTGACACGTGTGATGTGGGTCTGCTGACGGGGACTCTCCGACAGAACCAGGGTGTTTCCCCAGTGTCGGAGGTCTGCTCTCAAGGAGGGAGGAACAGTGATCATCTGTCTCTTTTGTTTTACTGGATCCACACGCAGACGCGCAAACCACCTCTGGAGGCGTCTCATGTGTAGTAAACCCAGCGGGACCACTGTGTGAGCTGATGACATCGTTCCTAACAGCTTCATGATGGAAACAGCTGTTATCACTCTGCCAAGTCTTACGTGGCGGAGCTGGTCTTTTAGAGTGTCGATTCTCGTTTGTGATAAACGAGCCCTCATGGTGGTCGAGTTTAGCTCCACTCCCAGATAAACAATTGTCTGGGCCGGGAAAATCGAGCTTTTCTTCCAATTTATGGCGAAGCCCAGATTTAACAGGTATGATGTCAGCGCCTGGGCCTGTCTTGCTGCCTCCTGTCTGGAGCGTGACAGCAGAAACAGATCGTCCAGGTAAAACAAAACTCTCATCCCTGCTCTGTGTAACGGTTGCAGGGCCGTCTCCACACACTTTGAGAACGTACGAGGCGCGAGGGAATACCCGAACGGCAGCCTGTTGTACTGATACTTCATCCCTTGAAAGGAGAAACACAGGAATTTCCTGTGTTTCACTGGCCGGGAGCAGTGTGATCACCGATGCGAAATGAGGTGGGATGAGGTGAGCATTCGCTCAGCCCCCTTCCACCGACACTACGCTCTCCAGGAGGGAATGAGCAGCGGGGCTGCAGCTGACGCCGCCTGTCCTGGAGGAACCATCCAATTCGCTCCGAGGATCAGCGATAAGAGGAAAATTACAAGATGGCGTTGTCCAGCGTGTAGCGACCTGTCACTGAGAAATACTCCTCGCCGCTTACCTTGAAACAAGACTGCTCGTCAGCTCCTCGGGAAGGAGAGCTCACCGGGACGACCGGAGGTCGACGTGACGGGCCAAGCAAGCATTCTTAACCAAGTTTGGTCATCAACACAACTTTCCTTCTTCGTTCTTCTGACAGTGCTATTAGCTCGCTGAAGAAAAATGGGAGCCGATTACCCGCTCTTAACGTAATTTATACGGACCGGGTGGGGCCCACACAGCAGGTGGGCGTGGACTAAATTTTTCAGTGTGATGCTCCGCATATCGGGATAACACCCATCAGCGACAGCCTTAAAGGGCGAAGCCTATACGAAATAGAACCCACTTTTTTAATTAAACTTTTACTGCTTTTGAAAGCAAATCAGTTTGACATGATTTAACAACATATTTCAAAGAAGATATGATGTCTTGTTTATTAACAAGAGTCAGCAGATTATTATAGTTATTATAATATTTGTTATATTATAATAACTATAGTTATAATATAATAACTAGTTATATTAGTCATAATATTAAAGCTATTATAATAGTTATTATAATATAATAACTAATATAATATTGTAATAACTATAATATTATAGTTATTACAATATTATAATAATTAATAATATTGCAATAACTATTATAGTTATTATAATATAGTTATTATATTATAGTTATTATAATATTATAATAACTATAATATATTATAATATTAGTTATTATAATATTATAACTTATAATATAATTATTATAATATTATAATAACTATAATATATTATAGTTATTATAATATTATTACTTATATTATAATATAGTTATTATAATATTATAATAACTACAATATTATAATTGTAATATTATAATAACTATATTATAATATTGTAGTTGTTATAATAACTATGGGGGCCGAGATGGTGTAGAGGCAGGGCAGCCGGCTTGGGACCCAAAAGTCCCAGGTTCGATCTCCAGTCACTGCACATCACGTGGCGTCTCTGGGCAGCACACCTCATCCCCAAAATGCCCCCCGGGCGCTTTCAATAGCTGCCCACTGCACCACCTGGTGGTGGATGGGTTAAATGCAGAGACTAATTTCGCCATTGTATGGAAACATACAGTGCTGACATTGTGATGACATTATTATTATAACTATAATATATTATAATATTATAATAATATATTATTAATAATATTATAATAACTATAATATATTATAATATTATAGTTATTAACGGTTAGCCCGACCCGGCCATCAAGCACATTATTTTGTCCCAGTCGGGCCCGGGTTAGAAATGACAGCTCTACTCTGAGAGGAACCATGAAGTCCAGATCAGTTCTGGTTATTCTTCAGGAACTTGGTCCCATCTCCACAGGATCTCTGAAGCTCAGCCAGTGGGACCATCAGGTTCTTGGCAGGGGTGCACCAACAAATCGACCCCGATTTCCTTAATTTTGGGAGATCTGGCTCCAACAGCTTCCAGTTGTAAATTCAAATGTGCAGTTTATTCTGATTTTATGCTTTAAGAATATCAAACTGGCTCCAAACACTTTACACCTTCCAAGTAGGGGTGCACCGATTAATCAGCCGATACGATTTCCTTAATTTGGGAGATCGTCCGATACTTACATGAGAAACCGATTTTTCTGATTTTTTTTTAGTTTTAACAACTGTCTGAACTTCATTTATATTTCAGAGCACTACCTCATGGCCAGTTAAAACAAGTTTGTATTGTTTCTAGGATATTGTTCAAGGATGTTTTTCAACAAAATAATATTGGACAATTGAAGGTGCATTGTGACCTTATAACACCTGACAGTGTCGCTTATAAAACTAAATCAGAATCAGCAGATCAGACTTTTTAGAAACCGGTGATTGGCCAGAAAACTGCAATCGGTGCACCCCTACTTCTTGGTCAGGTCCTGCTCCCTCGACTGCTCAGTGGGACCAGCTCTTAGAAGAGTCCTGGGTGGGTCTAACTTCTTCCATGTGTGAATCATGGAGCTCCATTAGCTGTGAACCTTCAGAGTAGCAGAAATGTTTATGTAGCCTCCTCATAAACTCCTATCTCTGAGCTCTGCAGACAGGTCCTTGGACCTCAGGGTTTGGTTTTCCTGTCAGCTAGACCTTCTGCAGAGAGCTGGGTGGCTTTCCAGTTCATGTCAAATCAGAGGTGGACTCCAGTCAGGCTGAAGAAACATCTCAGCAGATTGTCAGATATGGGAGGAGCCTGAGCTACATTTCAAGAGTTGTTGCAAAAGTGTTGATCAGATGTGTTATGTCAGGAGATATGTCAGGAGATGTTAGAATGAAATGTACAAACTTTTATAAAATACTGTTTATACTCATCAGTTTGGGGTTCTGAGTGTAGATCAGTTGGAAAGAGGAACCGATCAGAGCATCAGGCTGCGACAGAACCTTTACAAGCAGCTGATCCAATGTTTGAGATACTTTCGTCTTACCCTGATCTCTTGCTGTGTGGATGGCCTTGTTCAGCCTCTTCTGCTGCTTCATGCACACACCTGAGAGAAGGAGACACTGTGAAGCATGTCTGTTAATCAGATCAATGACGCACCCAGACAGGACTTACCAGTCCGAGTTGGATCGTAGACCAGTCCAGTGTGGGGACTGATGAACTGCTGCAGCAGCTTGACGTTCTGCAAGAGAAAGCACCGTGCAGGTGCATCACATTAGAAACAGTCCTCCACCCTCACAACCATCATGTCCTGAAGCTGTTTGGTCCCAGCTGGTCTACAAGTCCACCTCACAGGGTAATAATCTTTCTGAGAACTTGGTTTGAAGGTTTTAAAAGGCTTTGGGTGATGAAAGGTGGATTGACACCAGCTTGTTTGGACATTGCAGCATCACTTTTTATCTGGGTTTGTCTCCATGGTAACAGATGCTGGAGACCTAAGCAAGACCTTTAGCAGATCAGGTCTCTGTTTTAAACCAGACGCAACAAGCGTAGGGGTTGAACAACTAGATCATTTTTAAACTCGACATTAACATAATAAAACTCCAGTACGTGATGACATCATAGGATCTCAAGATGAAAAAATAAAATAAAATCACAAAAAAAACGTAATTTATTATTTACAAAAAAAGACCAACAAAACATTGGGAGAGTATATTATGCTCCTACCATTTATCATACTGCAAATACGTCACAGGAAAACCAAAACTATTAGTTTTTATTATTAAGCTGCAAAAGTGAAAAAACGTGCAGCACATCAAAAACAAAACTAAAAACAGTGGGGGGGTCGACCACCCCGCACCACCGCCAGATGTGGTGCGCATTAAGTTTAGTTTTAGAGATTCATATGTTTATGGATTTTTTATAGGTTTAGAGATTAATATTTTTTGCTTTTTGTTTGTGAAACAAGGTCAGAGGAAGCTGGTTCTGGTTCAGTCATTGGACCCGGTGTTAAACCATATTCTGTGACCTGCAACAGTAAATGGACTGTACAGGTCCTTCTCAAAAAAATAGCATATTGTGATAAAGGTCATTATTTTCCATAATGTAATGATAAAAATGAAATTTTCATATATTTCAGATTCATTGCACACCAACTGAAATATTTCAGGTCTTTAACTGTTTTAATACTGATGATTATTCTATAATTATTGTTCTAGAATTGCGCCGCTCAAGGTGGCTGCATGTTGGAGCAGCTCTGTTACTTTTATTCTGAGATTTTGCTTTTAGAAACTTTAATTCCTCTTTTGCTAAATGCAAAGCACATTTTTTGGATGATTGATGATTGTTTCCTCTGGTATCAGATGCTGTGCAGCTACTGAAACTTTTTTTAGTTTTGGACATTTTGTTATGATGCGTAACCATGGCAACAAGGCAGTTTTCTACAACCAACAGCAGCTGATTAACGTCTCAAACGCTCAAATAATATCTCAACTACAGCCCCAAATCTCAAATGAGTTGAAAAGGATGTTCTGTGGACGCATTCTCATCTACCTGCCAGCTGTGCTCGAGTGTCTGACCACTGAGATCCTGGAACTAGCAGGAAACACGGCTCATGACAGTGAAAGGACAGGATCGTTCCTCGGCACCTACAGTTGGCTGTTCACAGTGACAAGGAGCTCGGCAGACTGCTGGGAAGAGTGGCCATCGCTCTGGGAGGAGTTCTGCCCGGCATTCAGGCAGTCCTACAGCCCAGGGGAACTGAGAGGCCTGCTGAGTCTGGGTGGACGGATCGGACGGCATCTGCGACCAGTTTCTTAGGATCCACTGTGGGATGGACCTTTACAAGAGATCCTTCCTGTCTACAGTCATCAGCATCTATAACATCTCTTAATGAAATGAGGATAACGAGCTACAACAACAAATAATTTCCCTCTGGGATTAATAAAGTATTTTGAATTGAATTGAATTGAATTATGGCATACAGCTCATGAAAACCCAAAATGCCTGTCCCAAAAAATTAGCATATCATGAAAAGGTTCTCTAAAGAAGCTATTAATCTAACCATCTGAATCAACAACATAACTCTAAACACCTGCAAAAGATTCCTGAGGCTTTTAAAAACTCACAGCCTTGTTCATTACTCAAAACCGCAATCATGGGTAAGACTGCCGACTTGACTGCTGTCCAGAAGGCCATCATTGACACCCTCAAGCAAGAGGGTAAGAAACAGAAAGAAATTGCTGAACGAATAGGCTGTTCCCAGAGTGCTGTATCAAGGCACCACAGTGGGAAGTCTGTGGGAAGAGAAAAGTGTAGCAGAAAACGCTGCACAACGAGAAGAGGTGACCGGACCCTGAGGAGGATTGTGGAGAAGGGCCGATTCCAGACCTTGGGGGACCTGCGGAAGCAGTGGACTGAGTCTGGAGTAGAAACATCCAGAGCCACCGCGCACAGGCGTGTGCAGGAAATGGGCTACAGGTGCCGCATTCCCCAGGTCAAGCCACTTTTGAACCAGAAACAATGTCAGAAGCACCTGACCTGGGCTACAGAGAAGCAGCACTGGACTGTTGCTCAGTGGTCCAAAGTACATTTTCGGATGAAAGCAAATTTTGCATGTCATTCGGAAATCAAGGTGCCAGTCTGGAGGAAGACTGGGGAGAAGGAAATGCCAAAATGCCAGAAGTCCAGTGTGAAGCACCCACAGTCAGTGATGGTCTGGGGTGCGATGTCAGCTGCTGGTGTTGGTCCACTGTGTTTTATCAAGGGCAGGGTCAATGCAGCTAGCTATCAGGAGATTTTGGAGCACTTCATGCTTCCATCTGCTGAAAAGCTTTATGGAGATGAAGATTTCATTTTTCAGCACGACCTGGCACCTGCTCACAGTGCCAAAACCACTGGTAAATGGTCTACTGACCATGGTATTACTGTGCTCAATTGGCCTGCCAACTCTCCTG